ATATATATATATATGAATACCTTTTAGAAGAAGGCAAATGAAAGATTGCTTTCATTTGCATTCTTCTAAAATGTTCAGTGAAAGATTGTTGGTATTGTTCAGTTCCAAACTGTGAATCTAACGAGCGAATGATTTCATTGGTGATAAAGCAGCGAATATGATTTTAATGAAGCTTTCCAGTCTATTCAAATGCTGTTGGAAGTACCGGATTTCTGTGATGTTTTCGGTGGTAACAGTGCGAATGTTTTCGCTAGTACCGATGCTGTATCTTCACATGATGATTTCAATTGTCAAACTGCTAAAGTATTTTCCTCATTACTTAGTGGGGATTATTCTCAGGTGAGTGAGTTCTTTTAGTTGCGAATTTTCTATTTCGATAACCGTTCCGGTTACCTCTTTTTTTTGATTTTTTTGTGAGTATTTTTTGAAAAAATTAATCACCAGCCTATCGGGAACTGAGAAAATGAATGTTGTTATTGTTTAATTGTTATAAATGTTAAGATTGTTCCGAGTGAATAATTGTTTTAAATGTTGATTACTCGTTCTTTTCTGAGGATGAACGGAAATTGCTGTGATTCAGTTACTTTAATCATAACAATATTCGTTTAAGGAAGGAAGTGAACTGAATGGTATAAAACCGATTCAATTCAAGAAAGTTGTTGGTAGAGGTCATCATGAGTTCAGTACCGCCAAACAACAGGATGCTGAAGAATATATTCGGTATGTTTATCGAATCTTCAATCTTTATCGCTCGTAGCCATCATTTTTGATTTCGAATTCTGAGATCATTTTTTAATGGGAACTATTTGATTGGCATTGCTATGTTGATGAAAGTCAAAGGAGAAAAAATTTTTTTGGTAGTATATGGGGCCAAGATGACGAAACAACTAAAATTTACGGTACATTTTTGATAGTTGATGATTATAGCAAATTGGTTTGCTTCTCAGTTGAAGGATTCTTGTAAGGTATAATTTCATACTGACATCTTGGAGGATTCGAAATGTTTGCAGAACCATTTTTATGAGGGTCATCTGAATATATTCAGGTAGGCTGAATTTCGCTTAGAACATCTCAAGTTATTAATTTCTTTAAGGTATTTTCTAACCAAAGTGGATGAAAATATTCGTAAAAATGGTACAAATCCAGTAGATGCGGTGAGATTTAAGATGGAAAGTCGTTTCATGGATTGTGCTTCGAATCAAGTTCGATATGAACAAAAAGAAGATTGTATTCTCTCACTCAGCGTTCCTCTTTCTTGTGCTCAAAAGGAAGATAAGGTTTGCTGAATAGCTACTGTATTTTGATTGTACGCTTTTGGTAAATAAAATTAAAACGATGACTAAACGGTACTGGAACTGGTACAGTTTAGCAGTGTTTCGAATCTCACTCGGGGATGTTTCATTGATGGTATTGATGATGAATGTTTTGAAAAACAATCGTGTTCTCAGTTGTACTTTATGTTATGATAGTATATTGTATATTTGTATTCGATTATCTTACTGGTCGCAGCCAATTATTTACTGGATTGTTACTTTGTCCATTGTCTCAATACTTTAAACGAATTTACAGTTTTTAAAATTCAAATAGAAAATAATTGACAACGCTGATGCATTTAGGTTGATGAAAGTGGTGCTCCAGTGCGTCCGACACTAACGCTTGATCAATGTTTAGCATCAACCTTCAGTGAACAAACAATTCAAGATTTTCGTTCTCCTGTAACAGGTGAAATGGGATGCGCAACGACTGTCAATCGTATGGCCACCTTTCCTGATTTTCTTATCATTCATTTGCAGGTTCGTTCGTTTCTGTCGTCTCTGTTATTATCATTACTGCACTTGAAACTGGTAATTAAAAAAAAACAATTGTTAGAACAATAAAGTATTGAAATATTTGAAATGCTCACCATTCGCTCAGTTCCAATGTTTCATATTTCAAATAGAATTTGCTGTTTACAAAGGAATTCGTCCAGTACTTCAAACGAATGCTTTTCTAAGTTAAACTAAATCAGAGAGTACTTTGGATAATGTTAGACGCGAATTATACATTTGCAACTTATTATATTCATTCATATATTCAGAAGTTTCAAATAACTGACAATTGGACAGTGAAGAAAATGGATGTGAGTATAAAAGTGAATGATGTGATAAGTTTGGAATCGTTCAGAGCGAAAGGCAAACAACCGAACGAAATTTCATTGCCGGAAGATAATGCAAATAGTTTATCTGCTAATAAAAGTGTACCGCATTTAAAGGCTGATTTAGTTGCTTCGGTATGCTGATGTGCATTCATTTATTCATTGTTAAATATTTCTGTTGAATTAACCAGTGCAATAATTATCGAAATTGTTGACTTTGATGAAGTATTACTCCTGACTTTTCTGATTATCACCTCTTAATTTTAGTATACACTCTCTAAATGCAGTTTATAAATCGAATGCATAATTGGTAAAAATTATTGATGGCGTTTCGCTGTTTTTTTACTCTCCACAATTAATTCATTTTTTAAAACGTTGTACTGCAGTTATGCTCGATGGGTTTTTCGGAAGCAGCATCACGCCGTGCAGTTTACATGACGAAAAACGTTGGCATTGAACAAGCATCCGACTGGTTAATGCAACATTTAGATGATCCAGATATAAATGAAGAACATCCTGATTTATTGAAGCAAAAGGTTACTATTGTTTCCTCCACTCTCAGTCAACGCTTCCATTCATCGAATGCTGTATATGAAATCCTTTTCTCAGTTCTCGAAATTACATTTTTATCAGTTTGAATTTTGAAATGAAGTTGATAATGCGAAGGCATATTCGATCGAGTTTGGTATGACGTGTGATCACTGAAATATCAGTAGTGAAAAAGCTTACAGGTTCAAAACAAGGCTGATGCGTCGCTGATTAGTGAGTTGACTGTACTTGGATGTACACCGTATCAAGCGAGGTGTGCACTCGCGAAACATAGCAATAATTTGAATGCTGCTGCCGAATGGTTATTCGCGAACTTGGATAAATTACCCGCAGAGGAACCTCCATCTGCAGGTGAATTGCTTGGGTTCATCTGATTGTAATATAGACCACAATCCCAATTTATTTTTGTTGAGCACGAACTTATCTGCTCAAGAACAATGAATCAAAACGGCATTTCGGATCATTCGCCCTATTAAACTTATTACAATTAGTAATCTCATTTAAAAACGGAGAACGACATTTAAACTTCGTCATATTCTCACGTTCGTTGTTATCGTACTATCAGTTTTTCGGAAAATGTCGTTAAGCCTAAGCAGGTGGAAGGTCTCCCACAATTTTTAGATTCTCTCACGCTAGCAAATTTGTTCGCAACCAACAATCCATCTGTCTTCCAAAGGCTCGGTAGTAGGAGGAGTTGTCAAACTATTGGGAAACGTTTGACTAGCATAACGAGATGTTTAATGACTAAATTTAGGTGCTGAAGCAGTTCATAATTTCCGCGATGGTCGTGCGAGTTATGAATTGATTGGTTTCATCTCACATATGGGTACATCGCCACATTCTGGACATTATGTTGTGCATCTTAAAAAGGTGAGTAGTACATTAGTTGTCGATGATGTTTATTCATTAGTCATGTGAGGTTTTCGAAAAGCTTTGTTTCAGTCAGATGTCGTTCACATTGCCAGAATTTTTGAGAATTTCTGTTAGCGTACCAGATATTATATAACCCCTATTAATAAGTTTATGGATTGATTCTTCAGTTCATTGATGCTAAATTCTGTACGCAATTTGCATTATTTTAGTACAATATTAAAAACGAGTTCCGTTTTTGAAATTGGTAGTTTGTTGCGGTTAACTTGTACCTATGTGAATGGGTACGGGTAAATACTTATGAGTAGTTCACACATTGTGCATGTTTGTTCTGATTTTTACAAACGAGAATGTTTGTCGATTTTTCTCACCTACGAATGCCCTGACGGTAAGTATTGCTTTAAAGCTAGCCGGAAACAGAAGTGTTTGCAGTCAACAAACGCAGTTCACGTCGAAATTATTTCTTTACCTGACCATTGTTATATTCCATAGCATTGTTCTGCAGCATGGTAAATGGTATCTGTTCAATGACGAAAAAGTGGCTTTATCGCAGAATCCGCCTTCTGCACTCGCCTATATCTACCTCTACAAGCGTTTGTGATGATGCAGAACCCTCTTATGTACCGCTCGTTTTATGTTATAATAGTTTCAATCTGATGACGAACAAAAAGAAGATGCCACCATCGAAGGGGATTACGCGCCAGTTTATACATAATATTTTCAGTGTTATTACTCACAATTAGTACATAATCACCAACAAATTTAAAATCGTCATGTTTTAGTTTAGATTTGATTGCAATCAGCAGTACATTTTGGCGGTGTGACCAAATAAATGTTTTCTGTCATTTAATTATTGTTGTGGCATTAATAGAAACTCCGTAGTTGAGTAGATATCGAATTCAAATGTAAAATGAAAATTTTTTCATTTCATTGAAGCAATGTTTATAAATTTGTTGAGATTTTTCTCATGCGTATTCACCTATCTTAATCATTAGATCGCATCTTATTAAATGAATATCATTGATTTCCTGGTATTGTTTTTATTTTTATTTTTTGCGTTTTGCTTCATTGTTTAGGGATTTGGTTGCTTTTGTTGATCGTCGTTTTTAAAGCTTTTGAAAACTTGTAATTGATGACTGGCTTGAGCAAAAACAATTTTCAACGATACATAACATTATCTTTTCACTTTCCTTAATCGATAAATGTTTCAAGAAAACTGTCATTGAGAGATATTGCTTGAGGCAGGAGGGTACTATAAGCATTCCATGAGAAAAATAGCATAGCAGCGATTATTTGGTCATTCGATTGAATTCTGAACTAGATTATAAAATTTCGTAAGCAGCTTTATCATCTTTCTTTAAGGAGGTATTCTTCGTTTTAGTAAATAATTAAGTTATTATCAGTTTGGTATTCTTCTAATTTTGCAGAGTTTACCGGATTGATGCATCGAATTTGTAGATTGTTTCTATGGGAGAAAATGTGGTTCACAAAAGCTCACGCTTTAATGTGTTTCCAATGTTCAACGGTGTAATATTATACCTAGTTGCAGTTTATATGAGTTGTTCTTTTTTATATTTCGGTTCTTTAATGTTTTATGCGCTTGTTGAAAGCGGGTTGCGTAAATTACAGTTCTGTTATGCTCCGATAAAAGTATTATGCATCTATTCGAACTCCTTGTATTATTGAACACTCAAACTTGGGTAATTAAACTTTTATCAACATGATAAAATAATACGTGTGCGGAATATGAATAACATCATAACATACATATGCGAATAGTTTCTAACATAAAAATCGTAGATTATATGGTAAGTTACATATAGATATACAAAGTTATAGAATGAGGCATAAATTAAACATTATAGAAAATATCATTGATCACAAAATGGAGTTGTCGTTCGATTTCATCCTTTTATACTTCAGGATAATAGGCATAATGACTTTTGGTTCCTGAGTTTATATACTGCTGAAGTTATCTGAGTATCTGGAACTTTAAGCAGTCATAAGGATGGCCCATGACGGGGTCGAAAGTGATCTCTGGTTAAAAGTGCTTTTGAGATCAGATAATTGAGGACCAATTTCGTATTGAATTATAGAAATAGCTTTTTTATTGATCTGTGGACTTTGATGTGATTAATTCGAATAACCCATCGGCTTCGAGTTTTGTAAATCACTTTATATAATAAACACGATCTCTAATCTCCGATTGTTGTTATATATAGTTAAAATAATCTCTGATCTCTGACTGTTGTGCGTTCAAAGCGATGATTTAGAGCCATATATCAATCACCACAGATTTCATATTTTCATTTATATTCCATTTGTAATCGCGATATTTCGCAACAGCGGCCTTCGCCGGCCGAACGAGGCAGTTGAGTAAATAGTTTAATTTAATGACATCTGGAATGGGTTGACCTCCCAATTCCGCATAAAATCTTGCTCAGAATTCGGGCCATTTGAAGGAGCCGCCATTAAACCGTGGCAGTTCTAGCGTGGGAAGACGGATATCTGCTTGGATATTGGCCGTATCTGCCATTTCTTCCCTTTTTGCCTTCTTGTTGGGGGATGCTTCCAGTGCTTGTAACTGGAGCGTTATATTATCTATGAGAGAACACAAGAGATCTCTTGCCTCTCTCCCCCTTTCTACTACATCCAAAATGTAGTTCTTCGCTCTTCTTTGATAGGTTACCATCTCCATTTCTTTTTGTTCCTCATTTTGTTGCGATTGGATACAAACTATCCACTTCTTGTTTATGCCTTGCAAAACTTCGATGGCAGAGGAGATTTTTCTTTTTAGATGCTCAAATTCCAGTCTTTGCCTCTGGCAATGAGTTTTTTTCTCTGCCGTTGTCCGTTCCTCTTGAATGGGATTCATTTGTAGCGGAACATCATTGATATATAATTGCAGTCTTAGACTGGTTGGTTCCGCGTTTTCTTTGTAGATGTTTGCCATTTTATTTCTTGGGTTTGGTCAAGCTCTTTATATTTTTTAGTGTTTCGATTTCCCGGCGACGCACCAATGTACAGAAAGTTTATGGGTTGTATTATTTATTGGGTCCGGGTTGTTAATTTAAACAACCTATCTGTACAATCGATGGTTGCTTGCTCTGCTCGCCTGATATTATGCCACGCGGTTGATCTTTTGAGTCGCTCGTCAGCCGATCACTGTCTGGTTCAATCGAATGAGTGTCCACTGCTTAGTGCCTTTGTGAGGTTCAATTGTAAGAGTGTCGACCACTTGTCGCATTCGATACAGTGGATCGTTCGTTGTCGTTTGTTGGACACTCAAAATTGGGTAATTAAATCTTTTATCTACATACGCAAACGCAACGTCAGGCACATTAATCATCTTTAATTACAGGTATATGATACTATAACATTTTCTAAGATCAAAACATGTATTGAATATAAATGGATATAAGAAGTCAACACAACAAATTTATCACAACTGGCTCGAGTTCATATACAGATAAAACTTGCGATCAGATAACTTTTTCGCGATCAGATAAAATTTGTATATTAAAAAATACTAAAACAACTTTCAATCAATTTTGAATTATTAAACAATCTTTAAATAATTGTTTTGATTTTCCAGCGCATAATTGAGTTATTTGTATATTCTATTATGAAAATGGTTTCACCACGCTTCCCTTCACTCGAAATCTCATCAAGCATCTTGCCATGTTGATCAATTATGAGACGTTTTGAGATGATTCTTATATCGAGTGAAATTTTTTGAAGTTACCATTGTTTGTGAGATTTTGTAGAACTCTACCAGAAGAAGGTTAATAGGCTTTAGCAAAGCTAACACCGATGAGGTAAAAATTTGTTTTAGCGATACGAACGCTGATTGAATGAAAGGTATTTCCGTAGCAACTCGACCGCGAATTGAATGCATATTGTAGATTTATTTTGATAGGAGATTTGATACAAACCACAGCAAAGAGGAAAAAACGACAGTACTGAATAATAACGACAGCAAAACTGAAAGTTAGATGGGATAGGATAGGCCCAGCTACCAAAGATTACAATAACAACAACGGTCAAGAAAGCACTCGGAGAGGTCAAACAGTTCATATCGCCCATATCGTTCACGTGTTCTCGTCTCTCTTCTCGAATCCAGAAATCGGTCGTACCATAAACGCTTTGGCCAAATGGCAAGACATAAGCCCGTGCTAACCACATGGCATGGGTCAGCGGGCACACGCTACACTAATGCCTTTTTGTGCTATATTTCTTTTCCCTTTTTCGCGACACTCGTTGCGACATAGACAAAAGAATCTTTCGAATAAAATTTAGTGAAATTTGAAATCAGCTTTTAGAAACGCTTAAAATTATTAAAACAATTGAAAAAGAATCATAATGAAATGAATAATCATTGTGACGAAAAAATAAATTTAAGACTGATTGTCGTGGCGACTATGGATTTGTTTGAGTGACGAAGGAGTTGACGGTCCCGGTGTATTACGTGTGAATACTAAGATTGGTTAAGATTGTAATTTTATTAACAATTACGAAATTATGCGAAATATAAATCACACAGCAACTGATGGTAGTTTACAATAATTGATGGTGTTGATGGGTAAAGGAGGGGCCACCGAGGCTTTGGGTGGCTTGATCGCTCCGAATTTGTTGCTATAAGGTTGCCGCCACCAGCGCTGAGAGAGCTGGTTTGGGGCGGCAGTTACGTAGTGCTGGTCCGATTTGGTAGTCGCGTCGTTCGAGGTCAGGTTTGATTAGAATCAGTTGAATGATGCGGCTTGAATGGCGCCTCTCTTTTTATGCCTTCCATGAATCGCGGTTGGAAGCGTGTCTTCGAATAAGAGGGATGTTATCGTTGTGTATGCAAATTGGAGGTTAATAGTATGGTTAATGGCGTTCTCGATGTTTGATCACCGCCCTTCTTGTTATATAATTATTTGCTTTTATATTTGCAGACAATAATTATATTTGATTATATTTGCAGATAATATTATATTATATTTGAATAGGTTCTAGCATGGGTTTTTATTGACGGGTTTTAGTTTGCGGAGTTTGCGACACTGATATAACAATAACAGATTCAAAGAATAAAATTCAGTGAAACTTGAAATAAACCCTCATAAAGATTGGAACATTGAATGTTGCATCGTTCATCCGATTCTTTAGTTTTGTACAATAGAAAAAATGCGGAGAAGGCTCGCTCACTTTCGATTCTTGTCGGTGGGATCGTCTTAATCGAGTTATACAATTTTTGCATATGCTGTTCGCGTCATTAATTCTTTATCAAAATTATGAAAATTTGGGAATTCAGCAGCAATACTATTTTCTTTAAAAAAGAGATATCATGCTCGTTCTAGTGTGGTGTGGGAATGAGAAAAATGTCGGGGATTTTTGGGAACAAATCTTCGGAATTCCCCGCACCACACTAGTGCATTCCCATCCTTGATAAATCAGTTGCCATCGATCAGTTGCAATCTGGAAGGGTGGTAAACAATAAGTATGAGTGTATATGAATGTGCTGGAAATGATTTATGCTTCATTCGTGATGAGTATACTACCAAATTCGTACAAAATGACTTGTTGTATCAAATCCTGAGAATCTCGGGAGTTTTCAAAACA